ATCATCATCATCACCATCATCATCAGAATGACAATATGGTAACATGATAATATGATAATATGATAATGAAAATGAGATAGTGGTCATAGTAGCAATCATCATCTTCAGCAGCAACAAAGATGGCGACTAACAACAACAAGACCTCAAGGTTCGTTTCACACAAGGCATTTGACCGGTATGACCTGCATTCACGCTGTTTCACCACTCAGAATCTGCTGTTTGTTTCAGGTATCGCGCTCGAGGATTCGATGAAGTGATCACTCCCAACATTTGCTCCGCGGAACTTTTCAAACGTCGGCCTCTGAGATTTCAACGCCTACCGGATCTGTCTGTGAACTGGGCCCGTCAACGTAAAGAAACGGGGAATGGCCAGTTCACATCACGTTTCGGCAGATATTTTGAATCATTTTGATAATAATGACTGGTTGGTGGTTTGGAACATTTTTCTATTTTCCATATATTTGGAATAATAATCCCAACTGACGAACTCATATGTTGGGATAGTCTGGGGAAAAAGTAATCTGAGAAAACATGCAGGACATCCATTAGGTCGGCCGAGTTTCCCTGGAGCCCATTGTTTCCCCAGCCATGGTGCTGTGGATGGTAAGGCTCAGGGCACTACCAAAACTATCGCCCGGTGGCCCTGACGATCTGAGAGAGCTGAGATGGTGCTGTTTTGTTTTGGCCAATGGTTATATAAGCATTATTAAGCATATATATATATATATATCTATTTAATATATAATTATATAATTATATAAGTATATATATATAATTATTGAATTAATTATATAATTATATATATATATACATAATTATACATAATTATACATAATTATACATAATTATACATAATTGTCAATAAAAATACATAGTTATACATAATTATACATAATTATACATAATTGTCAATAAAAATACATAGTTATACATAATTATACATAATTATACATAATTATACATAATTGTCAATAAAAATACATAATTATACATAATTATACATAATTATACATAATTATACATAATTATACATAATTATACATAATTGTCAATAAAAATACATAGTTATACATAATTATACATAATTATACATAATTTTACATAATTATACATAACTGTCAATAAAAATACATAATTATACATAATTGCCAATAAAAATACATAGTTATACATAATTATACATAATTATACATAATTATACATAATTATACATAATTATACATAATTATACATACATACATAGATACATAGATACATAGATACTATAGATACATACATACATACATGCATGCATGCATGCATGCATACATACATACATACATACATATATACATATTTTTCGATGTGTGTAAGCCATGTTAATGCACTATTTTGGGAATCTACTGGGAATCTTTTGGGAGGTTTTTGTTGTTTTCCTTTTTTGTCTCCAAGAAGCAGATCCAAGTGTTGTTTTGCCATGTTTGCCTCTGATCCGACTCCACAATCAGCCACCAATCAGACCGGATGTGGCTGGTGCAATATAGCTATTTACAATTGCATTTTACAATGTTTAGAGATGATTTACTTGTTGCTCCCATCAAATAACCCCTGTTGATTGTCATTCTATCCCATCAACTATCCATGATTGAAGAGCTATTTCCCATTCTATCCCCATTATATTCCGGTGCAGCACCACGGTGATCTTAGGTGAAGACATGTATGGCTTTGAAGTCGAAGGCCAAGAATGGCCGGGAACCTCGTTCTGTGTTCTTTTTTCGGACGTGGACCATGGAAGAGTTGCCTGGTATATTAGATAAGTGGTAAACAAATATGGAATTGAACCAGCAAATATGGGATTTCACTGGATTTACCAGACTTTAGATGACTAACCAACAACAACCTGGGGAAATATGTGGAGAAATACCTTGAGTTTAGTCATGTGTTAGCCCGTCTACAGTTTTTTTTCTTAAACGACCAACTGTCAATTTCTCGCGTTTGACAACCTTCAAAAATAATCTCAAGATATTGGACGAAGCTCTCAGGACACCATAGACTTGTGCATTTGACACTACTCTCATATTAACCGAACATTCTGAGCAATGTTCAAGGATCATCAAGGATCTCTTCCATATATGCTGGGCTGACTGTAGCCATATACTGTGGGTGTCTATGTTTTCAGCCCAAGGATACCAGGGATCAACACGTCCCAAGCCATCTCCCCCAAGGTATTTGAAGCCGATGAACTGTCCTGGGTCCGGGGACCAGGGTCGACATGTAAGTTGGTGAAAATAACTATAGAATAACTGCTGGGTTGAGAATGAAAATTGAAGTAGTCGAACTAGTTAATGGGGTTACAAAATGTTATAAACATCATAAACCAACATACACCAACTATAATCACCATAATCACCTTCGGGGGCCGCCACTTTGTATGATGCGCCGGCCGCTGTGATTTTCAACCTGGCCGCTTAGGGATGATATATGATGATATCATGATTTCGTTAATGGGATGGCTATGAGAATGGTTCCATTTAGAGTTTATCCATGGAAAATGGTCCATTTATGGTTGATTTATGGTTGATTTATGGGGAAACGTGGGATAATGTGGGATATAAAGATGTTATTTTCTCCATAGATCTGGGTAAATTTGATCACGATCTCACTGTTCTCCCGAAAGGAATAATCGTTAGGATTCGGGAAATCATCCCCAAGTTAGCCTTATTCAGCTTAGTGAATGATTATAATTTACCCAGATTTATATAGTCATTAAAAATGGTGACTGCCTATAGCTATATATAACTAGGTATTCATTTACTATAGATATTTATAGCTATATCATCGGCTATATCTATCTATCCTTTGGCAATCAAGTCCTTGCTGGAAAAGTCCCCATGGAGAAGCCGTTGATTTCCGCCGTTCATGGAATGATGGTTAGTAAGGGAAAAACCATAGGTAAATCATCCTCAAATGGCCTTTTTCAGGTTAGTGAGATGTTGGATTCCCGGCGGATTTATTCGGCCCAGGGTCGGGTATCTAAGCTTGGCCATGTGCATGGATATTGGTGGCACTTGGACTTGGATGCTCACTTCAATTCGTCAGTTGTTTATCACCCATATATAACTATATAGTCACTATTGCTCCACGTGCTTCCTGCGAAGGTACGGCGAACCCCCCAAATCATACCTTATATACTTTCCCAGAAGGTACTTAGGGAATACAACTATGGCATAGTATAGCTTCTGACATTTTCCATCAAACCTGGGTTGTTATATTATGCGGTGATGATCCGCTTATAATTCTACTTCGTCCTGCAGCCATCCGAAAGTTTGCTCACCTCCACTTGAGTAGCTGCTAAAGCCTTCTTGGTTGATGATTAGTTCGGAGGTTATCCTACCCTTTGTTTATTGATAGATATTCGGTATTGATAGCCTATGCCAAAAAAAATATATATGTGTGGGGGAAATTGTCTCAACATGTCATACTCAATTTTTGGGAATCATAGTGACTAACTGACAAACTAGTATGATTGAAGGGATTACATTTCAATTAAACCCATATCCTTAAAAAGGCGCTTTTATCAATTCCCGTGAGGTCCATCAACCATACCGTCATCAACCATCCCCATCAATGCTAAGTTATAGCCCCATATGTTGATAAAATCAATTTTTTTAAGGTTTTATTCCCATGATATCCATTGATATCCCAGTTCATCGCCGTCATACCCCCATGATATCCTTAGGGCCTTAGGGTTTCCTCCCCATTTAACAGTTAGGCATTGCATAATCTTCGACAGCAGGCTGGAGCGACGGATTGTTGGCCGATGTTGGCTGGGTTTGGGGTAGAGAAATGCCCCGACAAATTGCATAAACATGTCACTATAGATATACCCTCTGGTAATTTAACATAGCTATTGAAAATGACCATTTATAGTGGATTTTCCCATGAAAAATGGTGATTTTCCATAGTTATGTTAAATTACCAGAGGGTATAATATAAACATAAATTCACAGAGATGCATACATAATATGCCATAATATATCATGATCTTCTATGATCACACACACCATCTGCACAGTATATATGAAGAATGATGCTAGAATCCTGAAAGCCAGAATAAGTTTCCATTGTAATGTTCAATGGAGGACAAATGCATGGAGGTATTGGATATACAATGCTTCGCGCAACTCACGAGATCTGGGCCAAAGCTGCTGGACTTGGTCAGATAATCACGGGAAGACGTCAATAAGCCAAAGGCTTCGCAAGATTCTGTTCTGACGTGGAAAATGAGTTCCAATGCAATCAATTATAGTGACCCTAGTTTTTTTGGGGATTTATGATAACCATCCATTTCTGTCAAAAGTGGGAATGCTGCACTATTTGGTTTACCACATTGAGACCAGTCCGTATCACTTTGACAGCTCCATTGTCGTGCGGCCTGTAGGGGCCCTTACCAGCAAACGTGCTGCGACCGGATTCGGAACCCAAAGTCCATGTTTGTTTCTTGGTGGAGCACTGGTTTTCTTTTGCACGCTTGCATTTATAGGCATTTGTATGGGTATGTCCTTTCCAGCCAAAGCAATATAAGGAATTGCATCACATCACGGAGAAAAGGTTTGTACATCACATGCGGCACTTTTCGTGCCGCAAGGAAATCTGAAAGACAAGAAGGACATATTTGCTACAACATTGACATACCAGAAAGTCATGTAAGATATTTGTACCCCATAGGCTCCTACGTCATCTCTCTTCAGTGGGTTCTGTCGGACTGTATCATGTTATGTCCCAACATCTCCCAGTGTAGCCCTCATGCATGGCACGTTCAACGCCCATTTATGGCAATCAAATGCGGTCAAAGACCTATTTTGTAACTATAATAATAATAAATATATATATATATTGTATATATAGGTAAAATCAAACATCTCACGACAACCCTTTCAGTGATTAATTTTGTTTAAGAGGATTTTCGGATTTTCCCGCACCAAGTCATCGATCTATTGGCTTAGCATCATCCCGACGCCATGGTCACCATCACCGTGACGCTGCTCAGCGGCAAGAGCTGCTCGCTGACGCTGCGCGAAGTGCACCCTGCGTCGCTGCGACAGAGGGCTATGGAGCTGCTGGAGGTGCAGCCACTTGGCGCAGCGATGCGCAGCGTTGCGGGCCTGGGGGTTCTTTTTTTGCTTCTTTGGAAACTTTGGGGATGTGGAAATGATGGACATATGATGGAAATATGATGAAGTTGTGCGTTTCAGAATTTTTCAGGATTGCACAATATCGATTAATTAAGCTTTGTCATGTATCCCGGATTTTGACCGTTTAAGATCATTTAAGTGCATGTTTGGGAACAATGCCGCTGCCCTGCGGTACGCCGCCGTGGTTCAGTGGGATGTGGTTTCACGTGGCAAAGTGACACTTCCGAGTTTTTCGTGAGACATATCCTGACCAGCCGATCTGGCTCGGAGGACTGCCTGTTTGTTATATATATATATTCACAATTATTCACATGTGCAATGCGAGATTTCGGTCACCGCGCCTAAAAGGGCATGAGGCCGGGCAGGGCCGTTCTTCAAGGGGCGCTGCTTTCCTTTCTAGCGGTGGCCATCAGAGATGGATTGAAGTCTGAAAGCCTCACCGTGGACACCGAAGGCGCCTGAGAGCTTCAGAGTTGTGTTGATCGATGCTATGAAACCATGAAATCAAGAGGGCTTGATCTGCAATCTGGACTTGTGCAAGTTGTGTTTGGCTTGATTTTTGGGAGCCTTCTAAATCATAGACTTGGGGTGATGGGTGATTACTTCCTATACAGTATATGGTATCATGTTGCATCGAATCTTTAACACTGGCATACAATGGCTTTTTGAGCTGTGAATCAAGACTTGGTTCTATGCATTATTGTTTCTTTTTCGTGTTCCATCAGTTTCCATCCTTGTCTCAAGTGGGGGAGGGCTTTTCAGGTGGAGATTGCAAAGACGCGTAAGAGACGCAGAAGTTGCTACAACAACTAGGCTACCCAGGCGGGTTCGAAGAGCCGAAACCGGCCTTCTCGAAACAAATTTATTTCAAACTTCAAACACCTTCATTTTGCTCCACAGTTGTGTGTAATTCTACTTGCTGCTGAATGAAGTGTTGCAACTTCTGTGATGCGGCCATGGGACTAAGTGACTATATAAGCGATCACATCGAAGTTCGATTCAATGCCTTCGTACTCGTCCAGAATGTTCTTGTTTGTTGCACACCCGATGATCCATGGTGCTCATTGCCTCCAGTCTTCTCCCGTCACTTTGTTTCGTCGAATGGTCCAGGTCGTTTGGATGGACCCCATTGCGAGTGGCGAGGCATCACGTGTTTTGACCCGTGCGTAGTAAGGTATTTGGAATGTGAGACGTGCGGTGGCCGGCTGCCAGAGCGCATCAACTTGAGCGGCCTTCGCAACGCATCTTCGAGCGCGAGCTTTTGCATCGCTTTTGAGGTTCGTTCGAATTTTTTGAAGAATCTGAAACGTCACGAAAGTGAAAAGAACCATTTCCCAAAGGCCACGTCTTTTAATTTAATTAAGTTGAATCAAAGAAAGGTGACTAGATGACTAGATATGATTAGGCTACATTCAAACATATTTATCTACATCTACCAAAAGCTGGCACTGAGATGCGCTGAGGTAGAGTTGACCTCGCCTAAGCTGACCGGGGACATCAAGGCTTTTGAGGAGATACCAAACCTCGTGAATTTGTCTCTCCACGGCACCCGGATCCATGGGAACCTCAGCGCCTTGGCGAATCTGCAGCTCCAGTTCCTGGACCTCAGCGGCACCGCAGTGACGGGGGATTTCAACACGCTGACCCGGTTCCAAGGTCTCAAGGTGGCGGATTTGTCGCACACTGCGGTGACCGGTCGGATGACAAACGAATGGAGAGGGAAGTTGAAACGTCTCGAGATATTGAAGCTGCAAAACACCTCTGTGCAATTCGCTCCACAGGGAGAGGAACTCCAGAAGCTGAAGGTGTATGAGACTCGACAACGACCTCTACTTGCGTTGAAGGAGTTGGACCTCAGCAACTGCACTTTTGCTAAAAACAAGATGTGCGCAGCAACGTTTTGGTTTTGTATCCAATCTTTTGGAGGTTGTTACATGTTGTTACCTTGTTCAATTTCTCTTCACGTTTGCTCTGGCCAGATTTTGCCACTGAGGTCCGGTGAACAGCCCGGTGGAGAACTTGATGCTGCCGCTGGCCACATGTCCACAACTCACCTCCATCCAAGCCGGTGGTGCTGGCATTTACGGTGAAATTCCAAAGCTGACAGACATGGAATTCATGGTGGATGGCGAGATTGTTTCGAACATCACCTTCCCTTTGGCAAAATGTTTGGTAACGTTTGACCTCTCCGCAAACAACGTGACTGGAATGCATGAACTGCCAGTGCAGCGTCTCATGTTGCTGCGGGAGAATCATCAGCTGAATGTCGACGTGAAGGTGCTTACGCAGGCCTTGAGCAAACACAAGTTCCTGGACCTGTCAGGCACCGCACTGAGCAACCAAGACGAAGCAGCAGAGCTCTTGAAAGAAGGAGTGATTAAGACAACGGACATGCATACCTTCAGAGACGAGACTGCGGGCTATGCTTGCAAAGATGTGATAGGCACCCTGAAGGTGACACCAAGCAAGTTCTTGCCACAGGAGCTTTGCAAGTGCTTACCTGGATGGTTCAGAAGCGGAGCAACATGCGAGATGTGTCCATCCAACCAGTTCAGTGACGATCTAGGCTTTGACACTTGCAAAAGCTGCCCTGCAAACAGCACAGCACCTGCAGGATCCACAAAGATGTCAGAGTGCAAATGCAAATTTGGAGATCTCCATGAAGGTATTTGTGCTTGTGACCCGCACCACGCCTTGCACAAAAGGGCGACTGTGTTCTTTGCACCAAACTTCACCTGCAGTGCGAGACGCCTGGAAGTCTGGCATCGACCGCCGTGCCAGACAAGGACTACACTCGCTTGGAACCGAGCGCTGATGAGGCGCATAGGTGTCTCCCACCGGCTGTATCAGATCGGTGTCCTGGCAGCCACCAGTGCGGCCCGGGCTACAATGGAACTCTTTGCTCAAGCTGTGCAGAAGGGTTTTGGGCCACAAGAGGCAAGTGTGAGCGACTTGGAATTGAGGTATTCTCTTTTCGATATGTTTGCTTCAGGATGCTTCAGGGGACATTTATACATTTGATTTTGGAATCGATGACAAGCCTCCTAAACTTGGTGAGGTTCCTTCTTTAATGAGTATAATTTAACATCAGTTTTTTTCAGCTGTTTCAAGGTAGGAACATGCCGTGAGGCCATGTGCCGAAGCAAGTTCGACCTCAATTGCATCCCTTGTGCTTTTGGGAGTTGCAGCCCTGCTGGCAGCAGCCTTCCTGTTCTACCGCCGAATCTATGGTCAACAAGTGCCAGAAGCGGCTAGTGCCACTTGTCCATGTCATACTGAATGCGCTTCCAGCACACTTGGTGTATAGTATATATCATATACCCAAGACGTCCCAAGACCTTCCAAGGGGTCATGTTTTTTGACCCCTATCGTGACCCCTATCGAGTGTCAATTTAAGGGAGCGGCGTAGCGACACTCCTTAGCCGAACCAAAAAAATCACAACAGGATATGGCGATAACGATCTTGATAGCACCATTTTTGGGAGAGATGGTTGGAGGCGAGCTGGACAAAAAACAAAACTTTGATTTTGGATTTTCCGACGCAAATGACACGCGACTCCCTTGTAGTGACGCCGGTGCCAAAACGACACCCCCTGCATACCCCCCCGACACGCAAATGACACATCTGACATGCGCCATTTCTGGGGTGCCAAAAACAAAAAGCAACTCAAAGTCATAGCTTCGGCGGTTTCAGATAACAAAGATGAGATGTATATCCCAGATGGCCCAAAACAGGTTGAAAACACCTTAGAAATTAAGGATTTAAGGGGCGTCGTAGCGACACCCCTTCCCTAAAGGGTGCCAAAACCCACGCCTTGGCATGTCCTGGTATTTACCAGCGCATCAAACCCACAATTTTGTAGGCGTTTTTTTTTCCAAAAACCATTTTTTTAGTTATGAAAAAAGCTCGTTTTTTTTCCCAAGAAAGATTGTTTTTCTCTTTAGTAGGGAAACAACCTACTTTTTCTCAAACTTGGTATCATGACATCTCATGATCCGCTCCCTTAGACGATTCAAACATATTCAAACCCCTTCATTGGTCGAAGGAAGTTTTGAAGTCAAACTTCCGACAATATGGACAGATGGAACAGCAGAGGTGGGAAGAGTCAGAGAAGAGAAGAGAAGAAGAAAGAAGATCAGAGAAGAGAAGGAATATAGAAAGAAGACGCACGCGCGCGAAAAGGTAGAAAGTCGCGAAACACTTTGTTTTGCCAATGATTTGTGGCTCCGGAGGGTCGAAAAGCAGGCTCGCTAAAGCGGCAGGTGCGAAGTCAAAAGTGTTAAAAACTGACAGGTTCGGAGCATTTTTGGAAGTTGAGATGTCGAAAAAGTGCACGCCGTTGTGGCGCGAAGGTGCGCCAAGCACATGTGGAAGTCAAAAATGTTAAAAACTGAAGCGTTCGGAGCGAAGAGCACACTTCGAAGTCGAACATGTGAAAAACTGACAGGGTCGGATCATTTTTGGAAGTTGAGATGTTGAAAAAGTGCACGCCGTTGTGGCGCGAAGCACTTTTGGAAGTTGAGATGTCCAAAAAGTGCACGCCGTTGTAGCGCGAAGCACATTTCCAAGTCAAAATGTACAAAGCACACCAGCTCCGGACCACTTTCGGAAGTCGAGATGTCGGAAAAGTGCACGCTGTTGTGGCGCGAAGCCCGTTTCCAAGTCAAAATGTTAAAAACACCACATGCTCGTTTTGCGTGGCAGGCGCAAGGGATGGTGCACCTGGTCAAAAGTGAGCACTGAGCAAAACGTGAGGGCTGTGGTAGCATGTCAAAAAACCATGGCAGGCATGGGACATTTGAAGAGGATCTGCAAAGATACATGTTCCGGGGCAGTGCAGTACAAGAGACATGTTCATGAGAGATATTAGGAAGTCTGGGCGCTGATTTCCTGAGAGAGTTTGCATTTTGGAGCATCAGATCTTCAGGTTTGCTAAGATGATTTTGCATGACAGGTGCAGCACTTCGTATGACCCGGCATCACTTTTTCGTGGCAGGCGCGGCACTTTAAACAGATGGGGTGGAACAACCGCAAAACACATTGGTACGACGTCGTCAGCTCTGCACTCAATTTTTCATTTTTGAAGGAGTCCTGCTTCGTTTTTGATGTTGTCAAGTTGAAAAATTGAGGACGTCTCGCAGTATAGCTTCGTTTTCAAATTCACGAGTTCAAACATTGAGGAAGTCTGGGAGAATTGCTGCGCTTCTGATGTTGTCAAGTTCAAAAATTGAGGAAGTCTCGCAGAATTGCTTCGTTTTCAAATTTACACAGATAGAGAGATAGATAGACAGATAGATCGATAGATTTGACAACTAATACAACTACAACTGCAACTACAACTACAACCACTCTACCACTACAACTGCAAATGCAAATGCGCATATACTACGCTACAGTACACTAATTACACTACACTACACTAATTACACTACACGCTAATTACAGTACACCACGCTGATTACACTGCAAGTCTACTATTATTACTACTACAGCTACAACTACAACTACATTACACTACACTACACTACACTAATTACACGACACTACACTACGCTACACTACGCTACACTACATTAACTACAACTACAGCTACAACTACAATTACATTACTTCACGATACACTACACTACACTAGACTACACTACAGCAAACAACACTACAGCACACTACACTAGACTACACTACAGCACACAACACTACCGCACACTACACTACATTACTTTACACTACACTCATTACACCACACAACAACTACAACTGCAACTACACTACACTAATTACATTACACTACAACTGCAGCACCACTAGACTACAACCACAACTACAGCTGCACTACACCATACTACATCCAGCAGTTGTTGGTAAGTTGACCACTGCAACCATCGCAACCACTCCAAAAAACACAACTCCAACCACCTTTCGGTCCATCAGTGGATTTGCTCTGCCATCCGTGATTCATGGCAACCAACCTCTCCCCACCGCCTTGTGCGGTACTACTGGTACTAGCCTTGGATCTATCCCTCTCAGTACCCTTCATGTTGATCATACTTCCAACCCGCTGGCTTTGGCTGGCAGTTCTCACAAGAAAGGGCCCGATGCTCTTAGAACATGTCGGACAACATTGCTTGTGATCACCCTCAATCTGATCTGGAGTCGTTGGAGGACTTTTTCCCACACAAGAACCACCCCTAGAAGCATAAATTTGAAACAGCTGAAACAGCTGCATTTTTTCATTGCCAAAAAAAGTTCTGGATTGACAAAATCGAACAAAGTCAATCAAACTTATCGAAAAAATAAACAAAATCATCCAAAACCCGAATCGCAAATTGCATTTTTTAGTTATTTTGGATTGCAATTTTAGGGTCCGTACCCAACAAATGCCCAAAACCTATATTTTGGCCGTATTAAGCCGTACTAAACCCATATTTATACCGTACTAAACCGTATTAAACCCATAATTAACCCATACTAAAGTTACTAAACCCATATTTACCCCGTACTGCGACGTCGAGTTTTGAAGCTCCGCTTGTCGTTTTGCAAGGTCCAACCGGCAATTGCCCGATCCAGACAAAAAGAAAACAATGAGATTATCGGAACTATTGTCAATTTGCTGTAAAGCTGACTTCTGACATGCTATGCATATCCATAGTGACTTTTTGACTACCTCCAGTCCCGCTGAGGGGGAAAGGCCGCAGTTTAGGAGGTAACTGCAGCCGGTGGAGAATGCGCGCATCGTGTGTGATAACGTTTTCTTTGGTTTCGATGGTGTGTTGCGTCTGACAGATTTCGGAAGTTGTCAATATGAAGTTGCTACATGTGCTGAATCAGAAATTTGATTCAAGCCCACCCGGTTTGGACAAACTTGTGCAAATCCAACCAAAACCAAAATATGGGCTCTTTACAAAAACACGGTTTTTCTCAAAAATAACTAGGTGTTTTTAACTGTACCTACAATATTTAGTGTCTGGAAGCCCAGGGAATATACATATATAATTATATTCAACAGTTTCATTGTTATAATATATATTATAACTTAATGTGATATAGCATTATATTATATTATTTTATATTATGTGTATTTCTATTAATATATTAAGATATATATATATTAAATTTTAATATTATATTATTTTCTGTTTTTAATTTACAGTATATTATATCATATTTTTGAAATTTAAATTATATTATATTTTGTTTTATTACTTTATATTATATTGTATTATATTATATTGTATTGTATTACATTATATTTTATTTTTTTATGATATTATTTTATCATATTATATTATTTTATAGTGTATTTTCTTTTATATTGTATTTTCTTTTGTTTCATATTTATTATATTTTCTTTTATATTATGTTTTTTATGATCTTATATTTTATTTTCATCACTTATTATACTATAATATACTTTATTTTTTATTTTACCATATTATATCTATATATTTGTTTGTTTATGTGTGTGTCTATCTATCTCTCTCCTCTGTGTTTTTTTTTAACTTGTCCTTTTTACGCTAAGGTAAAGACTTTGCTCCAAAAGCTGCTGTGTCGGCAAGGCCCGGTGGTGCTTCAGCTGGTGCAGCTGTGGAGTGTTCTCAGCCGGTTACGGCAACAAAGCTCATCCAGCGCCAAGGGCCTTCCGGAGATTCCATATTTGGAAACTCAGTGGTTCCAGTAGCTTATGTCGGATTTGTGCTTGCTGCTGATGTTTTTGCGTTTCTCCAACATTTTAATTTAACGTTTGCATATTTCACAATATGAGGCTAGATTTTTCGGGTCTGGTTGTTCAGTTCAGGTCTGGTTGAGGTGATCCTTTCGAATCTTTTCGATGCAGCCGAGGAATTTCTGCAGTTGACCGCCACCGAACTGCAGAGTTCCCTGAATGTGGAGTGTTCTTTTCATGCAGAGACGGTTCGCACAGTGGCTGCTATCAGTTCTCCGCTGGCGCCATTGCTTTTGCCACTTAGTGCTTGGAGAGAAGGTTTGTCATTTTTGTCGGTTGCTCCCTTTTGCATGTTGGTTGTGGTTGTGGTTGTGGTTGTGTTGTTGTTGTTGTTGGTTGTTGTTGTTGGTTGTTGGTTGTTGGTTGTTGGTTGTTGGTTGTGGTTGTTGTTGTTGTTGTTGTTGTTTGTTGTTGTTGTTTGTTTGTGGTTGTTTGTTGTTTGTTGTTGTTTGTTGTTGTTTGTTGTTTGTTTGTTGTGTTGTTGTTGTTGTTGTTGTTGTTTGTTGTTGGTTGTTGTTTGTTGTTGTTGTTGTTGTTGTTGTTGGTTGTTGTTGTTGTTGTTGTTTGTTGTTGTTGTTGTGTGTGTGTTGTTGTTGTGTTTGTTGTGTGTTGTTGTTGTTGTTGTTGTTGTTGTTGTTGTTGTTGTTGTTGTGTTGTGTTGTTGTGTGTTGTTGTTGTTGTTGTTGTTGTTGGTTGTTGTTGTTGTTGTCGTTGTTGTTGTTGGTTGGTTGTGTGTTGTTTTGTTTGTTGTTGTGTTGTTGTTGTGTTGTTGGTTGTTGTTGTTGTTGTTGTTGTTGTTGGTGTTGTTGTGTGTTGGTGTTGTTGGTGTTGTTGGTGTTGTTGGTGTTGTTGGTGTTGTTGGTGTTGTTGGTGTTGTTGGTGTTGTTGGTGTTGTTGGTGTTGTTGGTGTTGTTGGTGTTGTTGGTGTTGTTGGTGTTGTTGGTGTTGTTGGTGTTGTTGGTGTTGTTGGTGTTGTTGGTGTTGTTGGTGTTGTTGGTGTTGTTGGTGTTGTTGGTGTTGGTGGTGTTGGTGGTGTTGGTGGTGTTGCTGCTGCAGCTGCTGCAGCTGCTGCTGCTGCTGCTGCTGCTGCATGTTTCTGCTGTGTTTTGATTCAGAGGCTGCCGAACCAGCGTTTGCTGACCCATCGTTGGATGGCCACAATGGTTTACGCACTGCAAGCCGCAACATCAGAAAAGATCTTCATTAACAAGAAAGCTGGCCAGTCCAAACATGGTTGACATTTTCTGACCATGACACACATATAAGGGGTGTCATCTCAGAATGTGGGCGTCACTTGAACACTGCAAAATTTCCATTCTGCTGCATGCTTTGGGATCAATACCCTCCTGTTCAACCTGTTCCCTGTTTTATCCATGAGGCTTGGGTGTTGCGCTGCCTTGGAGCTTTACCGAGCTGGCTCCGGCGTCATCTTGATTTGAAATGGCAGGTGTTTGATGTGTTTTGTCACGTTAGTTGTTTCCATTAACTGCTCTATAAATCGAAGGTAGGCTGAACAAATAAGATGTTTTCCAAGCAAAGATCAGGTCAACATGGCATTGACGACGCTCACGTTCCTATACATTGGTGGTGCTTCGAGCACAGCACAGCTGTTCAGTTGTCAGTCAGAGGATGGAGGTGCGGGGAGGAACAGAAATAGGACTGTTGATGTGCAGGATGATTGCATTGCTGAAGGTAGGACAGGTAGGACTTTATTGCTCATGTTTTTCTCCACTAGCTCTTCCCAATCCACTCGCCAAGTTGCGCAGTGCTTTTGACAGTTGATATCTCGCTTTGAATGACTTGATGCTGCATTCCTCATGTGGCCGCAGATGGCGCAAGCCTCGGAACATTTGCTTTTCGCAAAGCTGTTCGGCACTTGAGCTGCTTTCAGAGAGATGGCGTGGCTTTCTGGGTTGACGTGGTTGCCTACAGCACTGCTGTGGCATATGTTGTTATCATTCCGCTCTTCCTCGTCCCTGGGATGCAGCCTGATGCAGCTTTTCACTATTGAGCGTTTCATCCAGTTTCCCTCTGGTCCATCACGTTTTCCTGGTCCGTCATGATTGCAAGATATCCCAAGACTGGAGAGCCCCAAGATTGCTGATTTAAGTCATCCTATTCTGTTCTTTTGGGGTTTCCATGAGTTGCGTCGCCTCCAGGTTGGCCTCATGCTGCGACAGCATCTTGGCGTGGAATGATCAGAGGGTTTCTGAGGGCTCAATGAGGAGGTGGTCGGTCGCAGCATGTGAGGTAATGAACGCCCTAGGCACCTCAGGACATGTCACAATTGTACAGGCATTAAAGGGCCCCAAATTATCATATTTTTAACTCGGGGGTTAATATGTTTTCATGATTGATTCAATGTGCAGCGTGTCCTGGACATTATAATATTATATATATATAGGACATTGCAGTTTCAGATTTCTTGTTTTGCTGTCAAAATTGTCAGGCACTTCGCCCTTCAGGATGCTCGACTCTTTACTGCCTGTGCTGAGAGGAAACCCCCACATACCACTCTGCACCTGGAGATGTTGGACGACCAGCTTTCCAAAGAAGCGTTTCCAAAACGTTTACTCGCAACCGAGCCGCAGTTGTCAAGCCACGCTCTTTCATCAGCGAAGATGCTGAGCCAACCTTGAAGAATTGAAATGCCACACAAGTTTCCACGAGTGTTTTGTGGCCGCATGTGGCAGCTTGGGGATGCGTTTTTCACGAAATTTAGGTCATGTTCTACCCAAGCCAAGGCAGCCGTAGCAGCCCACATGGCAGTGCATTGCCGCGGCGCCAGACGGGTCCAGCTGCTTGAGAAGTCGGCCACCATCATAACAATTTCGGATAACCAAGAGGAAGAGTGGTGGCCGATGCAACAGCATCCAGAAACATCGATGTGTTTCTTGTGCCCTGAACATGATTGCAGGAAATGGCAAGATCTATGCGTTTATGAAGGGTTCACTTGGGCATTGAAGTTCCTATTTTGTAGATGTTTTTCATCTTGGCATTGCTTCCTTGGCTTACATGCTGAGGCTGAGGAGTCGCAGACTCACTGAGATGTTGACTGAGCAGATCATGCTGGAGGAAACGCAAGATCGTTTGCTCATCGGTTTCAGGCCACTTCTGTCGAAGTATGCGCTTGGTCAGGCGGGGCCACTGACAGGTCAGAGGGTGTCAGAGGGGCAACTTTTTCTTCAGCGTTCCTCTTTAATAAGATATTGAAGACCAATAGTTGGCCAAAAAATGCAAGCCACTGGAGGTCGGTGATTCATGTCATGCCCCGCCGTTGGCTGAAGGATGTATGGATGGACGTAGCCATGAAGCTGTTCGCCGTGGCCTTGGTCTCGTGTGTCTCGATGGCTGATGCCTGGAAGTGGGCTATCGCCTTCAGTTTGGTCATGGCTGTGCTGGTTGCGATGTGCCAGCCATACATGGAGCCGCAGGCGGGGTAACTTTCAAAAGAGCCGAAAAGGTGCCACACTGAAAGCGGTTGGTGATAAAGCTAATTGCTCCATACTAGTCAGTGATGTTTCTTTGCACTGGCAAGTCGCTTTGTCCTACATCATGTCCTGCATCAATGGTGTTTGGCTCTCTTCCAACGTGGCAGCATGTTTGATCAAAATTCTCCAGCCAGAGGTCACTCAACTTCAGAGTTTGAGCTGCTTTTGCTTGGCATTGGCGTCCGTGGCTTTTGTCTACGACTGGGATTGGTTAGCCAGATTGACTTTGGTGACGCCGATGATGTTGATGCTTTGGCAGGCGCTGCGCTTGGGGCTGTCACCGCAAAAGAAAACATGAAAACTTATGTTGTATCCTGTGATATCCCCCCCTCCCATTTTTCCCCCTTTTTGCAATGGTAAAATCGAAGCGGCGTCCAGTGGGAGAGGATTGCCTTTATTTGTTTTTTTGATTCAATTTCTCTCGGACGATTTGGGTGCCCCAGCACGCTGCGAATTCACTCGGTGAAAATAGCTTGTGGCTGTGGCTGGGTAGATTGTTGGATGGCCCCTTACACATCACCAAGTGCCCCGTCTATAATGTTCAGCCCTTCCAGCCCGTACATATCCTTCTAGAGGGCAAATAATAGACTCATCCTGCAACGCTGTACGGATGGATGTTTCATGCTGTGCAGGTACGCTGTCCCGACTGCACGGAGGCCTTGGCCGAAAGGTTGTTCCAGGACAGGCGTTGGACGGGGCAGGAGCGGCCCAAGGAACATCAAGGCACAGCCGACAGAGATCTGAAGATGTTTATGGATGTTGTTTATGGCATTTTTGTGAAAGTTTTAACGCAACATCAATTATTTAAGTTTTACCATGCTGTAACAGATGTTAAGTCAAATTACGTTTATCCAAGTCGTGTTGGATGTTGATTAGTTTGGGGGATAATCCCCCTCAAACCAACTGGTGGGGAATGAATAGTGTGAATTCGAAAAACAATTTCCATCAATTTCCCCTGGAAACCCTAATCATGATTCTAGAAGTAAAGATGTTGATTCATTGAATCTGCTATAACTTCATCTTGCCTGCCTTTACGTAGCCCAATCTTTAACAAAAGTGGTGGCTTGAATTCATTTGAGTTTATTTTACTTTAGTCTAGAAACATGAGATAAATACGGGCTTAGTTTTCTTTTGTTCACTTCATTTTAGTGACTGATTAGTCAATTACATTCTATGTTTGTTGTTCTCTCCTTCGTTCTTCCTTCCTTTGGTTCCTTTCTCTTTCCTGCTTCCCTTCCTTTAGTTTTTCTTTTCGTGTGTGTGTGTGTCTTTGTTTCCTCCTTTCCTTCTTTTCCATTCTTTCCTTCTCCTTCTTTGGAAACCTTGGCGTCCCCAGCGTTCTTTCGGATTTGTGCTGAATAAGGTGCTGCAGCTGTTTTGAAGCAATTCTGACATGCAGTGCGCCCACCCCAAGAAACAAGAATCTTCACCAAGATCCTTTTGCCACTACTCACAACGTCTTACAACCATGGCAGCACGCGCTGTTGAGGAAGTGAGTGGTTCATGTAATTGTTTGGGTGCTGGTTTTGATCTTGGCTATTGTAATGACATTGTTTTTTTGGGGGGACCTTGCCATTCCAAGGATTTGTTTGGGAATGGCGCTACGATACGACAACTGTAGTATACAGTATACTCAATCTTAGATCTGGTGGATCCACCAACATGTGCTCCAGGGAGATCCTTGCAACTAGTCAGAACCATGGCAGCACACTTACTATTGAGGATCTGCGCGGTTCATGGGCTAACCCCTCGAAAAAAGACTGGGTGTTGTTTTCTTTTCGAAATCTTGGTTTAAGCAGCCCAAGCACTGAAATTCACAACAAGTGTAGTAGAGCAGTGCTCATATTAGACTCATATTTGATGGTCAAACAAATGAACACATTGGTTCAGAAATTTGTTGGGAACAACTTGCAACAAGTGACCACCTCTCCATCATCAAGATCCAACATTCCCCTCGAACCAGAACATGGAACATGCCCAGACACATCCAGCACGGCTGCTCCGCAGTGCGTCAGGAGCTGCAGTCGGAGCTGCCAAAGCTGCAGCGAGGAGAACATCACGAGCTGCTGGTGCAGCAAATTCGTTTCTGAGCCCAAGGCTTTGAGCAAAGGCTTTGCCGACACGAACGATATGGCAGCGCGACGAACCTGCTTGGGCTCAAAAATGGAATGGTTAGGATCGAAAGACCAATCCATACCAGTCCAGATTTGATTCGTAGCCACACCCACCGAGAATGATCATTGCAGGTGTTTGATAGCAAAAATTCGCCTGCAGGTCACGGCCATGTAAAATGCATGTGCCAAATGGCTTCGATTGGACTGTCCAAACCTTGCTTGGTTTCAAGAAGACCAACTGCAAAATGGAGCGCTGCACCCAAGCTGCTGACATGACCCGTTGTCTAGATTGATCCAGTTCGTTTTCTGTGTCATTGTTTTGCGCAACCCAATCTCTTTGATAGTCTGCTTGCTTGCTTACCTTCAAATTGACGGCGAAACAGCGGAAGGTTTGAAGGTCTGAGCCTGAGCCATACCCCAATGTGTATATTCCTGATTTTGTGGCTAAACAGCTCATCACGGACAATTGCCAACATTTTTGTCAAGTGCTGTTTGCCTGGACCCATCATTGGAATCACAATATATCACCAATTACGCAATGATCGTGGAATTGGATGCCATGGTCTGTTACAACCAACCGGCATTGATGAAACCAAGAACCGAAAAACTTGCTTGACCACAGCATCCAGAACTGTGAGCTGAAGCAAGCGGGCCTAGCTAGCAACTACAACACAATACTTTTGGAAACCGGGCAAGGCCACAGGAATCACTGTGAGTGTTTGTGTGTGTGTCACCATCACGCGCACTCTCTGGGACATTTCAAGACATTGGCGATCATTGAGTTATCTTCCACCTGTTTTTGTTTTCCAAGGAAATCCCCATACATCGGCATTTGCAAGTGGGTTCAATACGCCCTGGGACCTGACCCCTGAGGATCAGCCAGCTGATCACCCAAGATGGAAAAACATTACGCGACGACAGCGCCTTGGATCCCATTGGAATCGCCGGGCTCATGGTGAGCATCAGCCACCGGGGCCGCTAGGGCCTTAGCCCAAACATAAACATGGGTCATGGGGACCTTCGTAGGTATAACTGGAATTGGACGTTCAAATCATGCAAGCTGTTGAACGCTCTGTTTGCAGCAGTTAGTTGTTTTACAGTATGCAGCTTGAAAGCTGGAGCCAAAACAGGCGTCACAAAAGACACAAATATAGCTGTCGGGTAGGATATGTTGTTTCAATGCTAACAACTGATCGTATACCATTCCAAATCTTGTCAGGTTTTCTTACGTCACTTGCTCACCATACACTAGCATGAGCAGCCCCAGATTGAGAAGGCCGATCTCAATTTTGGGAGGAGGAACCTGGTGGGTGTTGATCGACTTGTTTTTTCAATGGTGTTTCAGTAGTGCATCGCTTTGAATGTTTTTTTTACTCTTTGTCTTCCGATTCCTTACAGTTGGAATGCTCGTCAATCATTGCCCAATGTTTGCCTGTTTCCGGCCCAATGTTTCACTTCTATTTCAGCTTTCTTTACATCTGCACCTAGAGGTGTGTTTCCTTGGTTTTAGATATCAACAAACAGTGTTCAAAATCTTGCGTGGTCTCTTTTTAATAATGGTTGCTTGATAGGATGCCCCTTAATGGATGATGATAATCTTCAATACATTGTTGAGATTAATTCCATTAATAATCAACCAACGATCAGCATCAGTAATATCATCCATTTAAACGCATTTAAATAATCTTAAATATCATACTAGATCCCCATAACTTGACTGTGAAAAACTTTGAAGATGTAATAGAAATACAGTTCATAAGCATCTACCCATCCCTTCAATGCTTCAATCCGCCCACGAGGTGCTGCGCTTCTGGAGGACGGCGCCGTGATCACCGCAGTGCTGCAGCAGCCGGCGATCGTCTCCAACGGCTCCAGTGCCTGGGTTCGCTGGGGTGGCTGCGGGAGGTTGAACAACCACTGGGATTGGAGTTATTTATAGCTATTTTATAGTTATATAGTCATAGAGTTTTATATATATATTTTTTTTATATTTACTAACAACAATATGTTAGAGCAGTATAGAGCACTTATATCAGGCGGAAAAGCACTAATTTCATGCTTTCAATGAATCCAAGACTAGGATTTGACCAATTTTCTCAGCGCAGGGAATGGCCGTTGCTCGAAGGGTTCGGCCGAGGCAACTGGCGCTCTGCCACCGTGGTGCGACACCTGGATGGCACAGTCACGGCTTGGGGCCACCTGGCAGGGACACACTGGCTTTTCCCAACATGGTAATGTCGGAGGGGTCCATGCATGGGGGTTGAAGTTGTTGAAATTTGTTGAATATGATGGTTTACCATGATTTGCAACCATTTTTGAGCCATCGCAAAAATGGTATTGGAGTTCTGTTTAGAGGTTGTTTCAGTAATTAACAGCTCATATGGTTGTCGATGGAAGGTTTCTTTAGCCATTGCGATTCAGTGATTTGAATAGTTGATTAGCAGAGCGACTATAGGAGTTGTAAATGGGGACTCGTTGCCCATCATGGAGACATATTGAGACCATCCACCTGGTGAGGAATGAGTCCTGCGAGCGAACCTTCGTGAATCGGATGTTTGGGTTATATAGTGTTGTATGACTCCCAGGGACGAAGATTATATTTATATAGAACGCGATATTTTTGATAAAAAAACAGATCTTCAAACATTCAAGAAGAGTTTTCGGGCGGCGGACGGTTTTTGCTAAGATACTAGTATCAATATGTATCAATATGCATCAATATGTATCAGTATGTATCAAGAGTGGCCTTGGAAACAGAATGTTTTTCGAATTTGTGTTGTTCCATGCGTTTTTTTGCCCTATAGCCTGTAATGGTTCTGCAACGGAGTTTCACAGGGTCGCATGCATTGGTTATCCATCCGCACGCCGAAGCACCAAAGGCAACGTTGCGTGCGGTGGGGACTTGATTGGCCACCCGGCAGCACTACTGTCGGGTAACCCTATATGCTGACTTAAGATACCATAGGTCTAGGCTTCCCAATCAGATACAAACGTGTTTCCAAGCTGTGAATTAGATTAAGTTTCCAGATTCCAGCATAATTTACAAGCCTCTTACTTTTTGATTTATTTTGGGGGGTGCTTTACCCCATCCAGATATGAATGCCGATGTTCCATTGTGAAATTGTTACGGTGCACAATATGCTCATTACCCACTTAATACCTGGGATGCACATCCAAGTAGTCAACAAGTTATTTCTTCAGAGCTGAGAAAAGTGTAAAAACAACATACTTCGCTAGCACCTAGTTAATATAGGTAGATAGGTAGGTAGGTAGGTAGGTAGATAGATGGATAGATAGATAGATAGATAGATAAATGCTTGTTTGAAATGGCAAGTTGTTGTTTGCCCTTTGGCGGGCCTGCTCCACCCATTGGTTGTTACCTTCTAAATGTTAATTTGTCCTTGGTTTGGGTGTGTGATGGGTGTAATATGATGTGTATACGCAGTACATATGGTTATACTACATATATATATAACCATCCTGAAGTAGATAGAATCTCTGGAATTTCAAAAAAAAAAACGGTCTGAACAAAACCTATAGATAGAATCCCAAAATGGCTCAAAAATCCGGGTCGATGATTGGTAAAAAAAGGTCCCTCAAAAATGATCACAAAAGCGGTCATTTAGCTTGTGATTTGGTTGTTTGGGCCTTTGGAATGACCACCAAATGTTGTCATTATGCTGGTGAATTAGGTTCTGGCATGCGAATTTCAGCCCAAAATCTTCCAAAGAAATTGTCACTGTTGCTGGTGGTTCCCAGAAATATAGATCCTTTGGCAGTGGTACTCAATAGTCAAATCCAAGAAAGGAATGGGTGTGGGTCAAATTATCACACCCCAAAATTGATAGTTGATTTTTTAAGATGTGAAATTTTGAAATTGAGCTGGGGCCAAATTTGACCCGTACCCATTTAGCTACAGTGTGCTCACCGGACCTCCTGGAGATTTTGAATTTGGACATCGATCAAAATCGGATACTTTAAAAAGTAATCTGTATAGAATTGGGTGTAATTGGGACAGAAGGTTTTGATCCATCCCCATATTCTTCTATATTCCTTCATATTCTATCTATGGTATCAACCACTGTGCTGACCCCTCCCTACTGCATTCTGCTAACAACGGCAGGTTTCCAAAAACCATTCCATGTGTTGTAGATTCTTTGGCAATGGTATTTTTGGTTCCCGGGATGCCCAAATAGTCAAACCCAATAAAGGAATGGGTGTGAGTCCAAATATCATCCCTACAAAATTGATAGTTGATTATTTAAGATGTGCAATTTTGTAATTGAGTTGGTGTGCTCACCGGACCTCCTGGAGATTTTGAATTTGGACATCGATCAAAACCAGCTACTTTAAAAAGTAATCTGTATAGAATTGGGTGTAATTGGGACAGAAGGTTTTGATCCATCCCATATTCTTCTATATTCTTTCATATTCTATCTATGGTACCAACCACTGTGCTGACCCCTCCCTACTGCATTCTGCTAACAACGGCAGGTTTCCAAAAACCATTCCAAGTGTTGTAGATTCTTTGGCAATGGTATTTTTGGTTCCCGGGATGCCCAAATAGTCAAACCCAATAAAGGAATGGGTGTGGGTAAAATGATCACCCCTACAAAATTGATAATTGATAATTGAAGATGTGCAATTTTGTAATTGAGTTGGTGTGCTCACCGGACCTCCTGGAGATTTTGAATTCGAACGTAGATATAAACTGTTGGATAGTCAAACTCTATATAAGATCATGAACCAACAGTGGTTTTGAATACAGCCCAAAAGGTATTTTCAGAATCCATAAATTATAATACCACTTTGGATAATATATTGATATAGCACATGTTGTTAAATACCACTGGGTATAATCCAATTAAGAAAATTGTCTTTGACAACATGTGATTGTTTTTCCAACCGGGACCTTTTCAGGGATATTCTAACTATAGATCTTGCCAGGGGCTGACAACTCGGCTCCCCCGTAAAGGGAGCATAGCAAAAAAACGTGACGGGATTCCAGAATCCCGTCATCACCCCCCTATGTGGGGGACGCCCCGGAAAGCGACCGAGTGTGCTACTATAGTGTGTAAGGTGCACTCTGTGTGAAATATATGCTTTGTATGTGAATGATATCAAATATGTAGATATAATATGTATGGTGTTTACTATGATTGAAACATATGCTTTATATGTGAATGATATAAAATATGTAAATATAATATGTATGGTTGGATAGTCAAACTCTAGATAGAATATCCTCTAGATCCATGAAAAGACTGAATTTTTAAAGGATGCTTGGAATTAAGCATGTATTTGTGGTGCTCCCTGCCCCTTCCTCCACATCTACCCATCCAAAGTTCATTCTTGGAGCTGTTTGAAAGCAAGCTTTAAAAGGAAAATGGCATTTAAAAAAAAGGAATCCGAGATCTCACCATCCAAAGTTGAAATTGCAGGTTTTTGAAAAGAAACCACAAAAGGAAAATGGGATGAGAAAAGAAGAAATCCACGATCTTACCATTCAAAGTTCAGTCTTGCAGGTGAATATTTCGAATCCAAAGTTCAAGTGCTGTGCTAGGACCAAAACTATAGATAGAATATCCTCTAGAACCATGAAAAGACTGAATTTTAAAGGATGCTTGGAGTTGAGCATGTATTTGTGGTGTTCCCTGCCCCTTCCTCCACATCTACCCATCCAAAGTTCATTCTTGGAGCTGTTTGAAAGCACACTTTAAAAGGAAAATGGCATTAAAAAAGTAGGAATCCAAGATCTTACCATCCAAAGTTGAAATTGCAGGTTTTTGAAAAGAAACCACAAAAGGAAAATGGGATGAGAAAAGAAATAATCCACGATCTTACCATTCAAAGTTCAGTCTTGCAGGTTTTTGAAAAGAAAGCTGCGAAAGGAAAAGGAGATGAGAAAAGTATAGAAAAGTAGGAATCCAAGATCGAGCATCCAAAGTTCATTTTTGCTAGTGCTGTGCTAGGACAGTTGGGCAAAACTATAGATAGAATATCCTCTAGAACCATGAAAAGACTGAATTGTTTAAGGATGTCTGGGATTAAGATTAAGCATGTATTTGTGGTGCTCCCTGCCCCTTCCTCCACATCTACCCATCCAAAGTTCATTCTTGGAGCTGTTTGAAAGCAAGCTTTAAAAGGAAAATGGCATTAAAAAGTAGGAATCCGAGATCTCACCATCCAAAGTTGAAATTGCAGGTTTTGAAAAGAAACCACAAAAGGAAAATGGGATGAGAAAAGAAATAATCCACGATCTGACCATTCAAAGTTCAATCTTGCAGGTTTTTGAAAAGAAAGCTGCGAAAGGAAAAGGAGATGAGAAAAGTATAGAAAAGTAGGAATCCAAGATCGACCATCCAAAGTTCATTTGTGCTAGTGCTGTGCTAGGACAGTTGGGCAAAACTATAGATAGAATATCCTCTAGAACCATGAAAAGACTGAATTTTTAAAGGATGCTTGGAGTTGAGCATGTATTTGTGGTGTTCCCTGCCCCTTCCTCCACATCTACCCATCTACCCATCCAAAGTTCATTCTTGGAGCTGTTTGAAAGCAAGCTTTAAAAGGAAAATGGCATTAAAAAAGTAGGAATCCAAGATCTTACCATCCAAAGTTGAAATTGCAGGTTTTTGAAAAGAAACCACAAAAGGAAAATGGGATGAGAAAAGAAGGAATCCACGATCTTACCATTTAAAGTTCAGTCTTGCAGGTTTTTGAATAGAAAGCTGTGAAAGGAAAAGGAGATGAGAAAAGTATAGAAAAGTAGGAATCCAAGATCGACCATCCAAAGTTCATTTGTGCTAGTGCTGTGCTAGGACAGTTGGGCAAAACTATAGATAGAATATCCTCTAGAACCATGAAAAGACTGATTTTTTTAAGGATGTTTGGGATTAAGCATGTATTTGTGGTGCTCCCTGCCCCTTCCTCCACATCTACCCATCCAAAGTTCATTCTTGGAGCTGTTTGAAAGCAAGCTTTAAAAGGAAAATGGCATTAAAAAATAGGAATCCGAGATCTCACCATCCAAAGTTGAAATTGCAGGTTTTGAAAAGAAACCACAAAAGGAAAATGGGATGAGAAAAGAAGAAATCCACGATCTTACCATTTAAAGATCAGTCTTGCAGGTTTTTGAATAGAAAGCTGTGAAAGGAAAAGGAGATGAGAAAAGTATAGAAAAGTAGGAATCCAAGATCGACCATCCAAAGTTCATTTTGTGCTAGTACTGTGCTAGGACAGTTGGGCAAAACTATAGATAGAATATCCTCTAGAACCATGAAAAGACTGATTTTTTAAAGGATGCTTGGAGTTGAGCATGTATTTGTGGTGTTCCCTGCCCCTTCCTCCACATCTACCCATCCAAAGTTCATTCTTGGAGCTGTTTGAAAGCACACTTTAAAAGGAAAATGGCATTAAACAAGTAGGAATCCAAGATCTTACCATCCAAAGTTGAAATTGCAGGTTTTTGAAAAGAAGCAACAAAAAGAAAATGGGATGAGAAAAGAAGGAATCCACGATCTTACCATTTAAAGTTCAGTCTTGCAGGTTTTTGAATAGAAAGCCGTGAAAGGAAAAGGAGATGAGAAAAGTACAGAAAAGTAGGAATCCAAGATCGACCATCCAAAGTTCATTTGTGCTAGTACTGTGCTAGGACAGTTGGGCAAAACTATAGATAGAATATCTTCTAGAACCATGAAAAGACTGAATTTTTAAAGGATGTTTGGGATTAAGCATGTATTTGTGGTGCTCCCTGCCCCTTCCTCCACATCTACCCATCCAAAGTTCATTCTTGGAGCTGTTTGAAAGCAAGCTTTAAAAGGAAAATGGCATCTAAAAAGTAGGAATCCAAGATCTTACCATCCAAAGTTGAAATTGCAGGTTTTTGAAAAGAAACAACAAAAAGAAAATG